AACGAGCGGGAGGATCGTTATCAAGGCCAGGAGGCGGGGGCGGCCTGAGCAAGAGCAAGACCGCACGTCATCATACCATAAGCAGAAGAATGAGACATGAGACGGACTAAAAATATATAGAAAAAAAAAAAAACGAGCCGGGCGTGTGCGCGTGCCCGTAATCCCAGCTACCCGGGAGAGGGAGGCGAGGTGGGAGGTCGCTTGGGAACTGCCAGCCTCGTCTCCCCTCCGTCCCTCAGCTGGGAGAGCGCATCAGGGAGGGCTTCCTGGAAGAGGTGGCGTGTTTTTTTTTTTTTTGGGGGGGGGGGGACTTAAACAAAGAGAGTGTCGCCAGGCAGGATTTGAGGCCGGCTCAAGCAACGGGAATTCCGAGCGTGGTGGCGTGGAGGTTGTCAGGGACAGGGGCGACCGTCCTGGAGGCTCGAGGTGGAGGACAGGTGGCGGTGGAGGCCGGCAAAGAGTGACAGCTCTCACTCTTGGGGGACAGACAAGCCCAGAGCTGGCCTGTTGGTCCCCAAATCCTCAGGGGCCTCTGGGATTTTGGCTCCGACGTCCCCAAACCCAGGGCGGGTCCCCTGGGCGCCCCAAGGCCACCCGGGTCCCCCTGCACCCAGTAAAAAGGCAGGAAAAGCAGAGAAAAACCAACGCCCCGCCCATTTGGGGGCGTGTTCAACGAAGGCCACGCCCACTGCCACGCCCACTGCGCCTTCCGCTTTCCCATTGGTCTGTTCTTGCCCACGTGGCGCGCGGCTGGACGCAAAGGCGTCTGGGAAATGTAGTTCTTTTCCAGTAGGCGGCCATGTGTCCAGCCCAGATTGGGGGTCCCCCCTAGATTGGAAAGAGGGGGACAGTGGGCTCTTGGGGCGCAACTGTGTCCATCCAGAGAAAGCGAGTCCTGGCGACAAATATTGAAATACTATAAAAAATAAAATTTAAATTAAATTGAATATTGATTTAATTTAAATTTATTTAATTTTTTTATTATTTATTATTTATTTATTATTATTTATTATTATTTATTTATTATTATTTATTATTGTTTATTATTTATTATTTGTATTATTTATTATATTATTTATTATTTATTAAATTTATTTTATAAATTTATAAAATATTACTTTATGAAATTTATAAATTTATTTTATAATTATTAATGTACTTAAATCTAATGACATAAAAATTTTAAAAAATTAGTTAAAGAAATCATTGGGTATCCAGGTTTTTAGAAAAATAGGCCACCGGTAAAAATAAAAGAAACAAATTAAAGAAAAGAAAAATTAATTTTATTTTTTAAAAAAATAATAATAATAATTGAGTGGTGCTGGGAGTCAGTGAAGAAAAGAAAGGAGGAAAAATTTTTGTAAATATTAAGATGATTTTTGAAAAAATAAGATAAAACTTAAAGACTTAAAAAAAAATCATTGCGTAGTGCTGAGAGTCAGGGAAAAAAGAAAAGAGGAAAAATTCTGTAAATATTAAGATGATTTTTGAAAAAATGAAATAAAATTTAGAAGCTTAAAAAAATCATTGAGTAGTGCTGAGAGTCAGGGAAAAAACGAAAGAGGAAAAATTGTATAAATATAAAAATAATTTTTTAAAAAATAAAATAAAATTTAAAGACTTAAGAAAAATCATTAAATAGTGCTGAGACTCAATGAAGAAAGAAAAGAGGAAAAATTTTATAAATATTAAGATGATTTTTGAAAAATTAAATAAGACTTAAATACTTAAAAAAAAATCATTGAGTAGTGCTGAGACTCAGTCAGAAAAAGAAAGGAGGAACAATTTTATAAACATTAAGATAATTTTTGAAAAAATGAAATAAAACTTAAAAAGTTAAAAAATATCATTGCGTAGCGCTGACAGTCAGTGAAAAAAGGAAAAATTGTATAAATATTAAGATGATTTTTGAAAGAATCGTCGAGTAGTGCTGAGAGTGAAAAAAGAAAGGAGGAAAAATTTTATGAATATTAAGACGATTTTTGAAAAAATAAATTTAAAAACTTAAAAAAATATCATTGAGTAGCGCTGGAAGTCCATGGGAAAAAAAAAAAACCAGGAAAAATTTCATAAATATTAAGATGATTTTTGAAAAAATGAAATAAGATGTAAAAACTTAAAAAAAAAATCATTGAGTAGTGCTGGGAGTCCATGAAAAAACAAAAGAGGAAAAATTTTATAAATATTAAAATAATTTTTTAAAAAAATGAAATAAAATTTTAAAACTTAAAAAAAATCATTAACTAGTGCTGAGACTCAATGAAAGAGGAAAAATTTTATAAATGTTAAGATGATTTTTGAAAAAATGAAATAAGATGTAAAAACTTAAAAGAAAATCATTGAGTAGTGCTGAGATTCAATGAAGAAAGAAAAGAGCAAAAATTTTATAAAAATTAAGATGATTTTGAAAAAAATAAAATAAAATGTAAAGAAACGGTGCCTATGTGGTCGATTTTATGCCAACACTTTTATTATTATTTTTATTTTTTGAGACAGAGTCTCGCTCTGTCGCCCAGCCTTGCTCACAGCGGCCTCCAACTCCTGGCCTCCAGCGAGCCTCCTGCCTGGGCCTCCCTCCCGAGTGGCTGGGACTTTGACAGCTCAGCTGTCTGCAGTGGGTAAACTGAGGCTCTCTGGGCGCTGGGGGTGCAGGGGGACCCCTGTTTCATGCACTGGGCTTGTCCCTGTGGTTTGGTGACAAAGGCCCGGGGACTTGGAGGCCCTCTGGCCTCCGGAGATAGCCTCGCAGCCGCCACTGCGGGATAAGCCGGGCTATTTCTGTCCCTTCCTTCCTGCCACTCGGGCGGGGGCGGCCTCCGTGGAGGCCCCAGCATTTGCTACAACGAGGACAACAGGGCCGGCCACAGAGCGGGGCCTCCACCGCGACAGCCTCCCAGGTGAGTGACCCTTTCTTGACACCCCGGGTGGGCCCTGCCAGGTAGAAAAAAGGAGGCCGTGGGGCCTCTGTGTCCTGAAAAACATGGCTGAGGCTCACGCCTGTCATCCCGGCACTCTGGGAGGCCGAGGCTGGAGGATCGCTTGAGGTCAGGAGTTAGAGGCCAGCCTCTGAGCAAGAGCGAGACCCCGTCTCTACTAAAAATAGAAATTAATTGGACAACTAAAAATATATAGAGAAAAAACAAGCCAGGCGTGGTGGCGCATGCCTGTAGTCCCAGCTACTCGGGAGGGAGGCCAAGGCGGGAGGCTCCCTGGAGATCAGAAGTTGGAGGCCAGCCTTGAACAAAAGTAAGGCCCCGTCTCTACTAAAAAAAAAAAAAAATAGAAAGAAATGAATTGGCCAACTAAAAATATATAAGGAAAAATATTAGCCGGGCGCGGAGGCTCACGCCTTCGTCCCAGCACTCTGGGAGACTGAGGCGGGAGGATCGTTGGAGGCCAGGAGTTGGAGGCCGGCCTGAGCAACAGCGAGACCCCGTCTCTACCAAAAACAGATATGAGCTGAATAACTAAAAATATATAGAAAAAACAAAGAGAATGTAATTGTGGCCGACTAATATATTAGAAACAACACACACCCTAACCGAGCCGAGGCGTGGTGGCGCATGCCTGGAGCCCCAGCATCTCGGGAGAGAGAAGAGGCTGAGCAGGAGGCATCGCTGGAGGCCCAGGAAAGTCGGAGGCTGCTGTGAGCGAGCCTCTAGCCCGGGCGAACGAAGCTGAAAAAAAAAAAAAACTCTGCGTTTCAGTGAAAACATAGTAACGTGAGACCGTATTAATATTGGAGGTCTTATCACGAGTGCGGGGCTTGAGGCTGGGCGGGATTTGGAGGCTCAGAGGCCCAGGGCCTCCGCGGAGGCCCGGAGCACTCCAGCCAGCAGTGCCAGGGCCACGGTCGCCACGGCCACCAGCGCCACGTCCCGCCAGAGCCCCGCGGAGTCCCACGAGGTCCCCAGCCTCCACCCGCAGCCCCCGTCCTGGGAGCCGGTGACGCTGGACCCCAAGACGGAGATGAGGGGCTGGCCGGCCTCCGGGGTGGCGCAGCGGACCTGCGCCAGGGCCTCGGGGTCCCTGTCCTCCAGCCAGAGGCGCAGGTAGGCGAGGCTGCAGTCACAATGCCAAGGGTTTCCGGAGAGGTCCAGCCTCCGCAGCCGGGTCAGGAGGTCGAAGGCCCCGGGAGGCACAGAAGCGGAGCTGATTGTTGGGCCAGTCCGCAGCAGGTGGTCTGTGTGGCGCGAACAGGCGGGCAGGGCCGCCAGCCCCTGTCCCCTGCAGTCCACCAGCAACCCCATCGTCTGGAGGCCCCGGCACCTGCACTGCGCGGGGCAGTCTCCGGCGGCCTCCACGGAGGCCCAGAGCAGAAACAGAGCCTTGAAGGCCGACATCAGGGCGGGCTGGCTGCAGAGACACAGAGAGAGACACAGAGAGACACAGAGGCCGTGATGGGAGGCCACGCGCCGTGTCCCCGTGTCCACGAATCACGCCCACTCACCTCCTTCCTCAAGCCGGCCTCAGTTTCCCGCTCGGCAAAACAGCCTCCAATTGGAGGCCCGTGGAGGGAGAGGCCAGCACAGGCCTGAACTTGGCTGGAAAAAAGCAAAAAAAAAGAGGACATTGAGGGACAAAGCGGGTTATTTTTTTGGGTGGGGGAAGAGGGCGAGACTCTGCTCCCCGTTCGGCTCATGCTCACACGGCCATCACAGCAGAG